CCCGTGACAGCTGACTTAACACCCAGGTACCTATTTTACTGCTAGGTAACAGGGGCATAGGGTGAAAGAAACTTTGTCCCTTGTTTCTAGCCGGCGCCCGGGATCGACCCCGGGACCACAGGATCACAAGTCCAGCGTGCTGTCCGCTCGGCCGACCGGCTCCAGAGTCAAGGACACCTTTGACCTGGAGTCTTGTGAGTTGTATTCTCTGCATGTTCTCCAGTACTATTCTGATGACATTACTGTTAGGGTACAGGCAGCATCCACATTGCATGCTAGGTTTATGTTGCTGCAATGCCCTAAGTTGGTTTCCCATCCAGATGCCCTGCAGCTGCCCTGCTTTGGTTATAGGGACCCGGACATGGGGGGCATCAGTTGCTTCGACCTTGGTTTAGTCTGCGCTTCCCTGGTCCTTTCCCTGTTGTTCACCCTGCTTCTGGTTCCCAAACATGGGGCATGGCATGGGCTCTGTCCGTCCCGTACGCTTGAGTGGCGAGAAACTTCTACCATTCTGCAGATTTACCTGGGAGGCGAGTTGGAGCGACTTAATGCTTGCTTGTTCACCTCTGTGCTGTCTTGGGATGTTGGCCTTATGCAGTTGCATGTGCAGGTTCCTACCCTTTCAGGGTCCTTGGTTGCTGAGGATTTGCACACCCGTGGGCATTTGGCTTTGGTCATGTGCTTCTTATCCCTTCTCGAGCTGTCTTCGACCTGGCTTAAGGAGGATGTAGAGGCGTTGAGTGCCGGTCCTTCATCTGGTGTGCTATCCTCGACAGCTCTGGTGTCGAACGCACGGTTGAAGTTGTTTGGGCCTATCCTGAAGGAGGCGGTGTCTCTGTTCCTTGAGTTCTTGCCTCACGTCCCATGAGGCTGCACTCGCTCTCTCTTTGGAATCTGCTTGGGCCCTGGCTCTTAGGTTTTCATAGCCGTTTTGTCCGTTGCTGTTTGCGGAGTCTGCTGTCACGCAGTTATGAAGACAGTTTCGCCTAGTTGCCGTCCTATGTTGGACTTGTTGTTTCTCCGGGGCAGCCGTTCTCTGTCTTTTTTGGAAGGATCATGCCAGGGCTTGAGGTTCCGCTGGTCAGAGTTCTGCGACAAAACTCCCACACAGGGAATAGCTCAACTGACAGCTGAAGCTTACAAGGTCTGCTTGAAACACGTGCCTGTGAGGAGGGTCAGAAAGAGGACCACTCTAGAAAGAGAACGCAGACGACTGTATACCTTGAGGTGCTTCCGGGGCTTAGCGTCCCCGCGGCCCGGTCGTCGACCAGGCCTCCTATAGGAGAAGGCCTCTTGTATAGGAGAAGGAAAAAAATAATGGAAATGCTTAGGCAGACACGACTATCACAAGCAAGGAAAATAAACCTAAGCAGGGAGATCAAAGAAACAGAACAAACATTAAAGCGATCATATGAGTCTGAGGAAATGGAATTGGAACAGAAAGCTATACAAGAGATAAAGAAAAATCCAAAATATTTTTTCACATACGCAAAATAAAAATAAAAAACCTCGACCAGTATTGGACCGTTAATTACAAATGAAGGTACATACACAGACGACAACAAAGAGATTAGTGAAATTTTAAGAAGCCAGTATGAAGTAGGGAATATAACCAAGCAAATATTGCATCAGCCAGAAAAACGATAAGATGGATTACGAGAACTTTCAAATCCAGGGATCCCATCACAATGGTACTGTACTCTTCAAGTCACTTGTGTTGTCCCGTCTCGAGTACTGCTCAGTACTCACTTCCCCCTTCAGAGCAGGAGAGATTGCTGAAATAGAGGGAATACAGAGAACATACGGCACGCATAGACGCAATAAAGCACCTAAATTATTGGGATCGTCTCAAAGCTCTCCAAATGTACTCACTAGAAAGGAGACGAGAGAGATACCAAATAATATACACATGGAAAATACTGGAGGGCCAGGTCCCAAATCTACACAGTAAAATAACAATGTACTGGAGTGAACGATATGGAAGAAAATGCAGGATTGAACCAGTGAAGAGCAGAGGTGCCATAGGCACAATCAGAGAACACTGTATAAACATCAGAGGTCCTGCGGTTGTTCAACGTCCTCCCAGCGACTATAAGAAATATTGCCGGAACAACCGTGGATATCTTCAAGAGAAAACTGGACTGTTTTCTAAGAGAAGTTCCGGATCAGCCGGGCTGTGGTGGGTATGTGGGCCTGCGGGCCGCTCCAAGCAACAGCCTGGTGGACCAAACTCTCACAAGTCGAGCCTGGCCTTGGGCCGGGCTTGGGGAGTAGAAGAACTCCCAGAACCCCATCAAGCAGGTATCAAGCAGAGTGAGCCATTGGTGCCCACATCTGAGCCGACATTGCCTTCGGAACGGGTGGTGCCTGGTCGGCCGATGATCGCTCTGTTCGTCTACGGGCTTCTTGTAAGGGGCGATGGGGAGGAAGGCTTGCTCTGTTTGGTCACACTTGGTCCCATGATTTGTGGGCGTTTTCGGTTGTGTCATCTGGCCTGTTGTGGCATTGGGCGGCTCCTTCTCCTTCGGGGGGTTCAGGGCTGACGAGGCAGGCTTCTTCCCCTTGCGCTTCGTCAGGTTATCTCGGAGTGAGTGCACTTGGACGTGGTCGAAATGACCCTGTTCTTCATGTGGGTTTCTTGCCTATTCCCTGTGCTGAAATTGGTACTGTTTTAATCTGCGGTTCATTCTGGACTTGTCCCATCTGAATCCATGGGTTCTTTGCCCCCCTCCTTTTGGATGACCACTCTGTCTCAGGCCCGGCTTCTTTTGGAGCTGGGTGCTTGGATGGTTATGTCCCCGGACTTCAAGGACTCTTATTGGCACGTCCCAATTCATCCGGGGTTCAGGCACTTGCTAAGTTTCGCGATGGAGTGTCAGGCTTATCACTTTCATTGCCTTTCTTTTGGCTTGAATCTAGCACCTCACATATTCACGCATCTTACCCGGGCAGTGGTGACCTGTGTGCGTCTGCTAGGGGTTTGGGTCCTGGCCTACCTCGATGACAGGCTGCTGTGGGCTCCCAGTTGGTCTGCTTGTCTGCTTGCCAAGGAGGTGGTTCTTTCCCAACTCGTCGGATTCAGGTTCATGGTGAACTGGAGGAAGTCCCATCCCAGATTCAGGCCTGGCTGGGTCTTGTTTGGGACTCTCGGACCACTGTCATGTCTCTCACTCTGGAGGCGTTGCTGAGGCCGTAGTCCCATCTTCGGCTGTTCCTGAGGAGGTCCTGAGTCACTTGGCGGTTGCTCAAGCAGATGTGTTGGAGTTTGAACTTCGCCATACTGGTCTACCCCTCTTTGGCTTCGTCGTCTGTTCTGGTTATTTCAGGGACTCCCCTTCCGCTTCTCCCACGATCGCTAGGTTTGTACCTCAGAGGCTTTGCATCTGTTGCTGTGGTGCCAGCTTCCTCTTCGGGTTTTTGGGATTCAGTGCCTTGGCGCGAGCTTCCTCTTCGGGGATTTTGGGGTTCAGTGCCTTGGTTCCTACCCGAGCCCTCGCTCGATGTATTCACGAACATGTCGTCTCTCTGCTGGGGCTTTGTGACCAGTGCTCACTGTCATTTGATGCATAATTCTGTTGCCTCGTATCGTGCGGCACTAATGGAGCCGCTCCAGCTTGCGTTCAGGGTCGCTGTCATTTCTGCCTTGTTACGTAAGCTTTTTCGGGCTTTGTTTCTCCTCCCGCTTGCTCATGCACCGCCTGAGCCGTCCTGGTCCTTGGACAGAGTGCTCCCCTATCTTTCCTCTCCTCGGTTTGTGGTGGCCCCCTTCGGTTGAGAATGTTTTTTTCAAGGCTCTGTTTCTGTTGGCATTGGCCTCTGGGAGTCGGGTCAGTGAGTTTCATGCTCTCCTCCAGTGCAGGGGGTTCCTACTCTTTTGGTCCTGGTGGTCTGTTGCAGCCTTCTCCTTTTCTGGCAAAGAACAAGATGGCTGCTTTCCGGAGGGGGTCCTTGGGTCATTGATGCTTGGTTGGTCAGGTCGGGGTGCATCATGTATTGTGTCTGGTTGCAGCTCTTCGCCATTTTCAGCACACTTCGGCTTCGGTGGCTGGGGATGCACTTTGGCTTGATCCAGTTTCTCTCATTCCCTGTTCCAGGGCTCGGGTCTCCCTGGTCGTCTGCAGGGTTATTAAGTCTAGCCAGCCTATGGTCTATCGTCATGCCCATGATGTTAGGAAGTTTGCTGCTTTTGCTACTATATTTGGCAACATGTCCTGGGCTGATATTCGAGCACGGGGATTTTGGAGGTTAAACAGGGTCTTGGCCGCCTGTTACTTGGTTAACTTTCGTGCTCCTAGCATTCCCGTGTTGTTGGGTTGCAGGTTGCAACCAGTTGTCTCGTCTTCACGTTGCAAAGTGTATGGCGGCCACCTCCTGGGTAAGTCCCTCTTTTCTTTATCTTTGGTTATGTAGCTCCAAGGAGTCGAAGGGACTCCTTCACAGAAAACCAGCGTTGATTGTAATGAAGGCCATTTTCTGGGTGAGCCCCCTTGGAGGCTCACTGGCAACACTCCCTCCGGTAGGCAGTTTTTGGTGGTGTTTGATGCTTAGCTTCCAAACTGGAGTGCTGGGTAGCCGATGATTGGAGGGCTGCACGGACGAGCGGCCGGCAGTGGAGTGTGACGTTTGCTTGTTTGATTGTTTCTTGGGATTGGAAGGAGTTCTACCTCTCTTTTTGTTTTTTCATTGTACTTTTCTTACCATGTGGGGTTTGTTTTGTTATCCCTACCTTTCTGGGTGCCTAACGCTGTTCGATGGCAGATAAGGAAAACCCCAATTGCAAGGGGGTGGGGGTTCCAGTGCCAGTGCTCCCTGAAAACTCTCTGAGGGGGATTAGGTTCTGGCTCGTGGTCCCCAGTTGGTCGAACTCCTTAGACTAATGCCATGGTGTAATATATCACACATTAGCCCGATAGCTCCAGGGAGCCTCCGGGGTTCACCCAGAAAATGGCATTTCACTACATTCAACGCTGGTTTTATTTCCGTGTTTTATTCTCCCATAGGTAATGGAGAAAGCACATGTGGATGCTATCATGATTCTGGGTGAAGCATTCCAAGAAGCAAAACCATTCCACTTTGGAGACCAGGATACCACATATAGAATACAGCATCTCGTTCCAGTTATGCTTTCACACCGCATGTGTGCTCCACCTGAGGAATCTTACTCACTGCATCGTAAAATGTCAGGTGTTTTCCTTCTGTGTGCAAAGTTGAATGGAATTGTAGAGTGTCAGTCAATGTTTGAGGAGGTGTTCAGTAATTACAGGTTTGGGGGTAGTTGGGAAGACTTCCATGCTGGCAGGTTATGATCATAATACACTATAAAAGCTTTCTTAGTCTTACTATCAAAACATTGTCTTTGAAGTGACAATTAATATTGTGGCATTACACAGAAATGGAAAAGGCAAGTTTAACATAAAGAAGTTTCTTACAAGTACAGTACAGTACAGTACTGAACAATTGATACAGTATTTTAGTTAATTACTGCAGCATAGATGTTCAGGGTGCTGAAAGAGGTGTTTAGTAAGTAATAGCTCATAACTTATGTAAAGATTGTTAGTAATGTGATAGTTCATTGGTGATTGTTTATCACGCTTGGCTTATATTGAGGAAGCTCCAGTACCAAGGCTCTAGACCTACAGTAGGAACAGTGCTTCATGATCAAAACAACCAGCATTGAGTTCAAAAGTGGTCACTCAGAGGTATTTATCATGGGACGGTAAGTCTGGTAAATGTTGAGAAAGCTACTACATGGATTCAAAATTTGTTTCATAGCAATTTCTTTCTTTTGTGCATGGATCCAAAAAACTGCAGATACTGTACTGCATTACATGAAAAATTCCCCTATAATTTAAACAAAAAGCTAGGCTCTGAGTGTATATGAAAAGTGCCTTTTCTGTGGGGGAGCCACGGAGGCTCCCTGAAGCTATCCGAACTGATATGGACCATATTAGTTTGGGGTCATCAGTCACAGGGGTTCTTATGCCTACCAGGAACCACAAGCCAGGCCCTGGACCCGGATTCATATAGCAGTTATGCAAGTACTTATGAACGTGTACATCTTTCCTCAATCTTTGACGGCTTTGGTTACATTTATTAAAGAGTTTACAAGCATGGAAACTTATCAATCATCTGTTGTTACAACCCATCCTCCGAATTGACAGTACGATTTAATACTAAGTGTAATAAGTACACTTTCTTACTGTAATAAGCAGTGCATAATTGCACTTATGGGGCTGTTACATTGACCCAACTCCCTCCCCCGCTTTAATTCTTCTCGTTTTCTGTTAAGTCACTCAGAATTTTAGGATGACGTTTTCAATTTCGATTTGCAATACACAAGTTTTAAATATCAGGAATTTCTTTTTCAGGTTAATTAAACAATATAGACTTTATACAAAATTTTAAAATATCCTGAGTTTCTTTACAATTTATTGATATATTTTAGTTTTGTTTTATTAGTTTTATAAAACTGTAATATCAATATAGCTATAGGTTAAGTACTAATTGTAATTAAGAAGCAATACAATTATTATCTTCAAAAACTTCTCTCATCTCTCTCTCTCATTCTCTCTCTCTCTCTCTCTCTCTCTCTCTCTCTCTCTCTCTCTCTCTCTCTCTCTCTCTCTCTCTCTCTCTCTCTCTCTCTCTCTCTCTTTTATATTTGTCTCCCTCGCTCTCTCTCTTCTCTCTCTCTCTCTCTTCTCTCTCTCTCTCTCTCTCTCTCTCTCTCTCTCTCTCTCTCTCTCTCTCTCTCTCTCTCAATCGATCTCTCTCTCTCTCTCTCTCTCTCTCTCTCTCTCTCTCTCTCTCTCTCTCTCTCTCTCTCTCTCTCTCTCTCTCTCTCTCTCTCTCTCTCTCTCTCTCTCTCTCTCTCTCTCTCTCTCTCTCTCTCTCTCTCTCTCTCTCTCTCTCTCTCTCTCTCTCTCTCTCTTTTTTTTTTTTTTTTTTTAAACTAAGACTAGGATTCATAAGGGATGCCTAATAACATACCTAGTGAAGCTGCAAGCAAGAGCTGTTATCCTACCTCAGCTCATTTGAAGCCTACACCTAGAAACTCATTTATTTCATGAGAGTATACTTTGAAACTAACACATTGGGAACTATCATATATTGAACTTATTTAAGCTAAGTTGAAACCTACTCGTAGATTCCCATTTATATCATGAGCCTGTTATTATATGCTTTAGAAGGAATAGCTTTAATTCATTAAAAAACATTAAGTAACAGTCATATAAGAAACAGGATGAGCTTGTAGCCAGCTGTGTGCCAGAGTCTTCATGTGAACAGTTGACCTGATCTCCCGTGTATCAACGTGTTGAGCGAACAAGTTCCAGATGCGAGTAAGCCTCGGAATGAATGAACGCTGATGGAGTGATGTTCTTGAGAATGGCACTTCCAGCATGAGACTGTTGAAGGTTGAGAGCCTAGTCTTACGAGTGGGAACTACTGGTACTCCACGGAGTTGGGCCAAGTGCGGAACTTTGAGGATGTTGGCCTTTTTCTTAACAGTAAGACCAACAACGTCACGACGGTGTAGCAGGCTCTGATGTTCAGACCGTTCCCACCAGACTTGGTCAAGACTAGAGATAAGCCTTCTAGCCCGTCTCTCCACTTTGTCCAACAGTCTGACGAAAGATGGGGGGCAGGCAATCCAGGAAAGGGGTGCATACTCAAGATGGGAGCGAACTTGTGCTTCATATAAGGTTTTGCATCCCTTGCTGTCAAGAAGATATGAGATGCGCCGTAGTGCTGTAAGTTTCCTGGCTGCCTTTTTAGCTAGGTTTAGCACATGGCTCTTCATTGTCATTGAAGAGTCGAACTTCATTCCCAAGATGTCAAATTCTTCTGTGAACTCTAGGGATTTGCCACCCATTTGCAGTTCTGTCCGATTCGCCATGTGCAGTCTAGTTATCATCATCGCTTGAGTCTTCTCAGCCGCAAATGTGACCTGCCATCTCCTACCCCAGGTAGAAATTGCTGAAAGTTTGTGATTAATGATTCTTGCAGCAGTTAGCATTTCCTCCTTTCTGTATGTAAAGGTTAGAGTACAGTCATCAGCATAGGCTTGAGCTTCAGGAATGAGATGAAGAAGATCGTTGAAATAAACATTCCACAGCAGAGGGCCAAGCACACTACCCTGTGGAACGCTGGCACCAATTGAGTGGCTATCGGATTCTGCTCCATTGAGGACTACCCTTAGAGTCCGTTCTTGAAGGTAGTCTTTTAATAACACTAAGATGGAGCCTGCAATGCCTAAAGCTTGAAGCTTCACTGCTAATCCAGAGTGCCAGACCCGATCAAAGGCTCCTGCTATATCTAGAGCAACAACACAGCTGATCTTGGACTCATCCAGTGACTGATGCCACTTAGAGGAGAGATTTAGCAAGAGATCAGCAGCAGATCGGCCTTTTCTAAAACCATACTGTCGATCACAAATTAGCCGATGACGGTCAAAAAATGATATCATTTGCTGAGCAATTAATGATTCTAGGATCTTGCCAGTAATGGAAAGCAGTGACACAGGTCTGTAGTTACCAACTACTGAGCGGCTCTTCTTTTTGTGCACTGGAACAACGTCTGCCTTCTTCCATAAGGAGGGCCAAATTCCTTGAACTAGGCACAGTTGGAAGAGGCGCGTGAGAGGTGGAGCCAACAGGTCAGCGCAGCAGCGTAGTAGTCTTGGACTGACCTTATCTGGCCCCACAGCTTTGCTTGTGTCTAGCGTGTTAAGGAGATGGAGAACTTCAGCCTGATTTATAACCACTTCAGTCAACCTAGACACAGTGCATGGGGCAAGATGTGGAGGCTGACGTTCAGGATCAGGGACCTGCATCTTGGCAGCAAAGTGGTTTGCCAGTAAATCAGCCTTCTCCTGATTGCTGGTTGCCACAGTACCATCTTCTCTGTTTAGAGGTGGGATTGTGTCCTCAGATGAGTACCCCTGCCGATCCTTCACCAGGGACCACCAGACCTTGGATCCAACCCTTCCAGATGCAAGTTTTCTTCGAGTTTCGGATTCCCATCTGGATATAGCCCACTTTTGAACTTCTTTCATTATTCGACAAGATTGTCTATGAATGTTTCTGTTATGAGCCGAGGGATGCCGTTTAAATCTCCTCCAGGCCTTGTTTTTGGCTTCAGCTGCCATCCGGCAGCGATATCCAAACCAAGGCTGATCAGTGGGCTTGGTCACATACTGCCGGTGAGGGATATGCCTATACTGGAGGTCCAGTATATGACTGGTGAAAGCGTTTACTTGGCTGTTCACGTCCCCCTGGAGCAAGGCATGCCAATCAGCTCTCTCTCTCTCTCTCTCACTCTCTCACTCTCTCACTCTCTCTCACACTCTCTCTCACACTCTCTCTCTCTCACACTCTCTCTCACTCTCTCTCACTCTCTCTCACTCTCTCTCTCTCTCACTCTCACACCCACCAACCCCAGCGATACAAAGATGCGAGAAACAAATACACGGCAATGAGGAGAGATGCAGAAAGGGATTGCAGACAAATGTAAAACAGAACCAGGTCTATTTTATAAATTCATAAACAACAAATTGCAGGTAAACGATAATATTCAGAGGTTGAAAATGGGAAATAGATTCACGGAAGATGAAAAGGAAATGTGTGAAACACTAAACGAAAAGTTCCAAAGTGTGTTTGTACAAAATGAAATCTTTAGGGAACCAGATGCAATAAGAATTCCAGAGAACAACATAGAGCACATAGAGGTGTCTAGAGACGAAGTGGAAAAAATGCTCAAGGAGCTCGGTAAGAACAAAGCAGCTGGCCCAGATGGCGTTTCACCATGGGTTCTGAGAGAATGTGCATCCGAGCTCAGCATTCCACTTCACCTGATCTTTCAGGCATCCCTGTGTACAGGAATCGTAGCAGACGTGTGGAAACAGGCTAACATAGTTCCAATCTACAAAAGTGGCAGCAGGGAAGACCTCCTCAATTATAGACCTGTATCTTTGACAAGTGTAATAGTGAAAGTATTGGAAAAACTAATCAAAACTAAATAGGTAGAACACCTAGAGAGAAATGATATAATATCAGACAGTATGGTTTTCGATCTGGAAGATCCTGTGTATCAAATTTACTCAGTTTCTATGATCGAGCCACAGAGATATTACAGGAAAGAGATGGTTGGGTTGACTGCATCTATCTGGACCTAAAAAAGGCTTTCGACAGAGTTCCACATAAGAGGTTGTTCTGGAAACTGGAAAATATTGGAGGGGTGACAGGTAAGCTTTTCATGGATGAAAAATTTTCTGACTGATAGAAAAATGAGGGCAGTAATCAGAGGCAATGTATCGGAATGGAGAAATGTCACAAGTGGAGTACCACAGGGTTCAGTTCTTGCACCAGTGATGTTTATTGTGTACATAAATGATCTACCAGTTGGTATACAGAATTATATGAACATGTTTGCTGATGATGCTAAGATAATAGGAAGGATAAGAAATTTAGATGATTGTCATGCCCTTCAAGAAGACCTGGACAAAATAAGTAGATGGAGCACCACTTGGCAAATGGAATTTAATGTTAATAAATGTCATGTTATGGAATGTGGAATAGGAGAACATAGATCCCACACAACCTATATATTATGTGAGAAATCTTTAAAGAATTTTGATAAAGAAAGAGATCTAGGGGTGGTTCTAGATAGAAAACTATCACTTGAGTACCACATAAAGAATATTGTGCAAGGAGCCTATGCTATGCTTTCTAACTTCAGAATTGCATTTAAATACATGGATGGTGATATACTAAAGAAATTGTTCATGACTTTTGTTAGGCCAAAGCTAGAATATGCAGCTGTTGTGTGGTGCCCATATCTTAAGAAGCACATCAACAAACTGGAAAAGGTGCAAAGACATTCTACTAAGTGGCTTCCAGAACTGAAGGGTAAGAGCTACGAGGAGAGGTTAGAAGCATTAAACATGCCAAAACTAGAAGACAGAAGAAAGAGGTGATATGATCACTACATACAAAATAG